GCTCTGTCTTGGTTAAATAGCCGAGGCAGCCACGCGCATCGCGCGCCTCTTGACGCCAGACAAACGGGCACGCCAGCCCAGGCACTCACATGCCTCGCCATCATTTTGGCACGCCTTTTGATGCATCGGGCACGCCTTTTGATGGCACGCCTTTTGAAAGATTGGGCACACCTTTTGAGGGCATGACTTTTGAGGGCTCGATATCTACATCCATGTATTTTTTTGGGCAGCCTATATACCCACTCACACAGTGTCTTCTACACCGGTCAGCTTTATCAATCCCTTTGTTTCAACCTCAAATAGGTTTCTATCTTCACACCTATTTGAGTTTGAGGGGGGGTTATACACAGTATCATGTATAAGTCACTCATGGCGCACTCCCTAAGTCGCCCCCTTGGTACATCATCACAACCTGCTACAACGGTCCGACATGACCCCGTAAACTGTCTGCTACAACGGTCCGACACGACCATACCGTGTCTTCTACAACGGTCTGACACAACCATACAGTGTCTCCTATCCCATTTTTAATTTTATTTGTCAGTTTATTTTTCTGTTTTGTTACTCTCTCCAAACTCAAGTTGGCTAGTACCTATCCTCCTTGAGTTTGAAGGGGGCTGTTAATGTAAATTGTAAATAGTAAATCACCACTACCACCCACTCCACCTACCACCTCCACTACCACCCACTCCACCTACCACCTCCACTTCACCTACACCTACTACCACCTTCTCTTCTATATATAGGAGTTGTAATACATAACAATATACATCAATCAATACACATCAATCAATAATACATGAATTCTATCATTGGTGTTGCATGAAACCATCAAACAATTACAAAATTTCCAGTAGTTGTTTTCCAAATCACAGTTCTCTCGAGTATCCACTCATTGAATGACTGACGGTCCACTATCTCTATGCTCAAATTTTCGGTTTTGCCAGTTGTGTAAAAATGTTACAAGAGAAAGAAACTAAAAAGGTAGAAATTTTCAGAAAATATGCAATTTAATTCTTTGAATTGTATAAAATGACTTGACATCACTACTATTAACAGAATCCAAATGTGACTTCAGGCTACCTTTTCATTGCCATAATAAACACATCTACCCAACCACTTACATTTTGTGTATTGGGGGATTGTAATGCAATGTGGATTGATAGTCCTGGATAGTCCATGGATTATTTGGCTGGAAATTATGTGTATCCCATATTTGTTTTCTCGTGAGATTAAATGTCTAGAAATGACTATTTTAGTAAATCTCATATTTGATTTGAAAATTATGAAGTATGTTGTTTAAATTGTTTACAATGGCAATACTAAATTTGAATTATATTTTATTTTATTTTTATTAGAAATTTAATTTACAAAGATCACTTTTAATTTTATTTAAATACGACATTAGAAGTATATTTTCATTTATGATTTTGCTAATACAAAAAATGAAAAAGAAAAAAGAAAGTAAGAGAAGACTATTATATGTCATGAGATTAATTTACACCTATTTAAAAAAAATCAACATGTTTAAAAAAAAAGAAATAAAAAAATGAAAGAAATAAATTTTATATATATATTTGTCATTTAACTAGCTATTTTAGATATACTTGAGGGTTAATTTTATCATTTAACTAGCTAATCCAGAAGTTAGCTCAATTCGTCCATTTCTATCCCACACCCTCCATGGAATTGAGTTATCCCATATATGGGGATTATTAGTCCAAGGGGATTATTAGTCCAGCCTTCATTTTTCCAACCAAACATTGGACTATCCACTTTGTTGGACATGGAGTCCAATCCCATGCCCTAATCCCACCAAACAAACACCCGATATATGATAGTTTTAGGGATAGTATTTCTCAAACCTTTAAGTTCTTTACAATTCTTTCAAAAAAGAGGCTTTCAAGATCATCAGAAGTAAAGTTACCAAAAAAAATCAATAAGCAAGGCTTCCAAGTAAGCACATCAAATGCCCATAATTTAAGCAGGTTAACCAGGATTCAAAATCAAATTTACTTTCCAACACCCAGATTCCCAGTGATCAAGTCATCATTGATCTCATTTGAAACTTTGGTCACATTCCAGACAGACGCATTCTTAAACAGTAGTAGCATGGACCTCTGCATTTAGCCTTATAACGAGATCACATAGTACCACTTAAATGATGATTATGTCACACTATCCTCACAAACAACTCATATCCTAGTTCTCTGCTAACAAATAGATGGACTTTAGTGGTGAGCAAATCAGTAGCAGGTGTTTGATTTGCCCCTAACCCTGGACTTGGTATAATAGGTTAAGTTTATGTAACTTGTACCAATTGCTTAGTTAGAAAGCAATTATATAATTTTAAATGGACAACCAGTTTCGTTTCTTCAACAAAATATGATGCATGACATTGATGTAGCACCAGTAGAGAAAGTGGAGAAGAGAAGAGACTTAAGAGAAAGAAAAGAGAAGAATAATAAGAAAGGAGGGAAACAGGAAACACACTCCCAACAATATCTCAATTAATCAATATCCAAGTCAAAGTTTGCTAAACCATTACATAAAAGGCATATATATAGGCTAACTAAACTAATAAAATTCCACAAGCAAACAAATACTAAGAAATGAAATTCCAACTAAATTAAAACTCGTAAATAATAAAAAATACAAAATCTTCAATTATCTCGTTATCCAATTCTTTGTGTTTCTCATCACACATTGTCTTTTATAAGTTTCCGAGTGACTTCTGTAAGCATGTGTACTATTAATAATCTAAGCAAAGGCACAGCAGAAATATTCTGTACTTTCATTGGTCCCTTGATGTGATATACAATTTTCCCCTTTGCTGGAAAACCTATTTAGGCTAAATATTGTTTAATAGGGATAATGACTGAGGCAATAATAGAAACTAGTATTACAAGATTTCGTAATTTGAAATGATCCCAATATTTGAGTCAATTTATCCTGACAACATATCATAAGGTACTAGAAAATAATCGTAAAGTAAAACTGTTCTAATCAAACATCAACTTTCATATATGCGTTCTGATTAGATTAATAACAAAATTTGCATCAATGATGCCCCTAAAATAAATCATTTTAATGTAGTTATCCACAATGTGAAAAAACTAAATGAATATCTGTACCTGGAGCCTGTTTGTCAAGATAATGTTTGGATACATTGCGGCCACATCTAGATGATAAATGAGGGGACATTCTTCACGTATAGGTTCATCTTGCAACTTCATAAGCTGCAAGTTGAAAAGAAGAACCAACTATTGGTCACAATCTCGTATAAGATCAATCAAAGAGAAAAGGAGGTGCATTTATGTATGAAGTTCCATGCTTAGCTCAAATGTTCCAACCATTGGTCACAATCTTGGGTGACCCATTACCAGTAAGAACCAACTATTAAGCAAATATTGCAAGCTGCGGAGAGAGTATAAACAGTATAGTTTATAAAGATATGGGTTACAAAGAGCAGTCATAACTTTGACAAAATTACTAAATAGTATTTCTTATGTTCATTTTTACATATCAAAACTAAGCATTATATATTAGGATTATTTTTTTTTTATACATGCTAGGATTCGCAAAGAGCAGCACCCTACGATGTTCATGACCAATCAGATCCTGACATACCAGTAGGTATATCAAGATATATACAGATCAAAAAGACATGAAGAGAAAGATAACTCATCAGTGTCAAAACATTAGTTTGGGTTTGAGAATAGAAAGCAACAGCACCTTTTCCCTGATGGCATCCTTCACTTCATCATAATTTGATACTGATTCCAACTCCATCTTACCCTCTACTCTAATAGCATATTGCAGATCACGATCAAGATTGTTGATCAGTTGCTGAAACCAAGAGTACCTCACCATCATTAGAAACTGTACATGATGCTAAACTGTCCAGAAGAAATATCAACAGAAATCTAATGCATCATCGATGGATTAGTAAAGCAACCAACAAAGATATGGAAAAAGAGCAGGTTTAAACTTGGGGAAGTTTCTTAATGGCTTCATACACAACATCAATAATGGTCAATAAATCAATTTTTGGTCCTAATAAACCCAGGCCATAACAAAATCAATAAAAAGCCCCAAAATTTAGATAGGTGTATGGATGCGTAGGAAATTGACAGATATTTTTAAGTGATCAAAACTTTAACAATTTAACTAATTTTAACAAACAATTTTACCTTAATAAAGGAGTGAAAAAATACCTGAAATGCTTTATGATGATAAAAGGAAAGCATAAAGAATTCTTTACATGGATAATAATCAATAGAAGGAACAGGGGAAGATATTTTGAGAGCATATAGGAGATTAGCTGGGTATTTTACAGTTATTTTACAGCATATAGGAGATTAGCTGGGTATTTTACAGTTGCTGCAATTCAATTTAAATCATCCAACTGCTTTAACATCCAAAAGTAGAAGAATGAAAATTCAATTCTTGGCTTATATCACTTTTATAATCCTTTATATATGGATATGCTATTTTGACTCCCTTTTCCAAGAAAACAACAATATTTCTGAGAACTTAAGACTAGTGGGAAAAAAAATAAATGAAGAAAAATTTTATGCAAAAGAAATATATATTAAATCAGTATTTGACATATCGGCTTCAATATTAGGAGATGGAAAAACAATCAGAAAATTATGTCTCAGGGATGGTTTTAAATAATGGTATCGGGATACATACATTATTGGCGATATATCCAACAGTATATTGGCCAATATATCGGTGAATAACGATATTGGAAATCTAAAATCAGTTTCATATCGGCAAATACAATACATAATGGCTGATATTTACAACCATAAGGTTAAATGCTATCTTTGAAGAGAAACAGTGCACTATTCTGCAGCCAAGATTGAGTCCATTCATCAAATCAATCCAACAGATCAATTTGTGAAGAAACCGACTACAGTAAAAGCATAAGCCAATAGAGATGGTGTAACTTATGTACTTATATCATGATGACTAGGCCAAACACGTGTATGTACAACAAGTGCTTTGTTCAAAAGTATTGATGGTTGTCAGGTTTTGAACACAAGACCTTTCCGGTTTCTGCCCGAACATCATGTTCAACAATTGGATATGCTGAAAGCTTAAAATGAGGGAAAGGGTGTATCTCAAGGACTCGTGTCATCAGATCTTTATAAGGCATTTTAAAAGAACCAAAGAAACTTGGTTCAAAAGTATTGATGGTTGAGGGAGATAAGTACCACATACCTCATAAGCAGATGGATCAAGCTTAAAACTAGTTGGAAGATCAGATCTGAAAACACCACTTTCTAGGCATTCCACATGGCCACCAATATATGTCTCACTCTCCAAGAGCTGGTTACTATAGAACTTTTCTGGATCAGATTGGTGCTTATTAGGACAAATAGCATTTGCTTTGTATGCCTGCAGATATGATAGAATTGTCATAATTTAAAAGTAGGCAAATTTTAATTCAAGTTATAAAAAAGTGCCAAGGCTAAGGAAAAGAAATACAGAGAAAGCAACAAAAAAAAAATCACAAGATAACACAGGGAAGAAATTGATCACAGTTTCAACATGTATTCATGTTCCCAAGAACCCACCTGGACCATCAGAAGCATCTCACAAAGGGTTCCACTTCCTTTACGCAAAACCTCATCTGGCGGCATGGGTATTATGGTTGCAAGGGAGAAAATGAAGGGATGGACATAGGTCATATACAAGTAATAAGTTGCAACAGCATCAGAAACAGAGTAGGAAGCCATCATCTAAAGTAATAAATTAAACAAAGAAAAGAGAACGTTAGAAACATTAACAATAAGGTAATGCAAAAAAATGTGATGGAAATAAACAATTACTATTATCCAATGACATCTAGTTGATAACAATGATACTTCTTATGGAGAATGGCAGTGCTCATTATTTGCCCAAAAATAATAAATTGTGCGGCTGCAGAATACCTTCCTGAGGCCATCAACTTGACTCAAGTTGGCAGCCAGAGAGAATGAAAAGTTTAGAGACAACAACTGAATGACCACATAAATCACCTCACCTTCACAATACAAGTCGGCCCCACACCTTCACATGGTGTGGGGCTCAACAGTGTTGTAAAGGGAGCAGTGGTTTAGGTCGTGTCTGTAACATTGTTGAATGGAAATGGATCCCTTTATGTGACTCCAAACATAACATCAAAATTTTACTTTTTTTTAATGCATCATTTTCCTTAGCTACTAACCACATTTTTTGAGCAATTCACCATTTTCAGTATCATATACCTGGGGCCTTTCCATTGCAAACCGAACCATATCCTCGGGATTCACCTCCAATGGATCATAACCCAATTTAGCCTTGGCAACAGCCTGACATATAAGCAAACAATTGAATATGTTAACTTTCCCACAGAAAAATAATGCATGTAATGTAAGTACAGTCAACATAGTTAAAAATAAATATATACAAGTGAAGAGACAAATAGTGTACGGTTGAATAAAAATAAAATTAATGTTAATGTTGACTGTAGAATATAATTAAATGCTTAAAGGTTCAAGTTTTAAATGCATCACCAACATGCTCGCCTTTCACTATTTTACAGTAGCCAGTTGTTATGCATGAGACACCATTCACAATCATCTCATTAAGGTATTCTATTAATCCATCCACACAAACACTAAAATTGCTATTCCTATAAATCTAATGACACATGAGAAACATGGAGGTTGCAAGAAAACCCTAACTACCAATGTAGATGCACCAAACTTTCAGAACATTGAGCAATGATGCATCAAAAATACCATCAACTAACTTCATTATAAACATCCTTGAGAATAATAGATGAAACTGCAAACATAAAGAAATTGACAAGTTGACAAGAAAAGAGGGTAAGATATTTTGACTTGTACACAACTTGGTTTAAAAAAAAAAATTTCTTAGTTTTACAAGAAGTAAGAGTCCCCGTGAAAGACATGGATACCAATGGTTGCTGATTCCTAACATCACTGTCCCAATCAGCATATGAATAGGCATAGAGATAAAAGCGAAGAAGACCCTACACGTTATGGACAAGTCATTGCGCCATAAGAAAACAGTTGATCTCTAGGACAGTTGCATAATGACCAAAGCAAGAAACTGACTAATCAAGTGAATAGACTAAAGCAATCCCACGCTGTCGATATGGGATAATGTGATATAAACAAGAATATGTATGTGTTTATTTATTTTTATAAATAACAAGACTATGAATTTATTGACAACTGAAAGGTGACAGATCATCAAAGAGTCAAAGCTTCACATGAACTCTACTAGAATAGAAAGGAGCAGTACATATCTAACAAGCTCGAAAGAATTGCTTAGAAAGCAGATAGCTGGTAAGACTTGGAAAGCAGCAAAGGATATCCAACATCTTTTGTCTTAAACTGCAAGTATGAGTGGCTTAGACTCAACACCGAGAAGGATCATCCCAGCTAGTAACCATTTCATGAATACAGTCAACTCGATGAAGCTTTAACCCAACTATTTGGGGGAGGTTGCATGAACCATGTTTGACCTCCTTCTATGTCAAGATGACAAAAGCCAGTTAAACTGCACACTAAAATATCTTTCCATACTTTCTAAATCCACAGTAATCCTGGTTATATTGTAAACTTCAGGGATCAGTTGATAGGCCAGACTTTATCACCGATGGAAAGCTGAGAAAGCAGGGATGGATCATTTGTATAAGGAGACAGCCAAATCAACTAGGTGATCTCAACAATTTAAAGAAGAATAATGTCAAGAAAAGCGGGTGTCTTGTTTTATCAAAACAAGAGGAGCAGCAGCATAGAACAAGAAGACAATTCAACTGCTGAAGCCGGTAGCAGTGCTCCCAAACCTGGATATCTAAGATGATTTGCCTTGTTCTTCAAGTTGTTTCAAGGATTTCTGATGATTACACAAACCTAACTAGAGTGAGTCCTCTTCTAGAGTATCAGATCCTTTTTCAAACTGATTTTCTAAATTTAAGAGTGCGATTGCATATCTCATCATGCTACGTGCTTTCAGTGCTGCCTTAACTCTTAACCGTACTCTACCATCATCTCTTGCTCCTCTTTGGTTCTACCTTTCTGCTCAAAACTGGACCTCTGAGATAAAAGCTTAGGCCCTATTTGGTCTATTGTGTTGCACTAACTTGAAGCACTTCTAACTGCCCAAGTGGTTTAGTGTGTGTTTGTCTACAAGTTAAAAAGAACATTGAACTCGATGAGCTGCAAAGAAATTAAAGCTAAAAGCTCTTCATGATGAAGCAGTTCTAAGTTGCTTCTACAGAAGCTCTTTTAAAAAGGCACTTTACCAAAAGCCATCACACTACCAAATGGGCTCTTAGTGTTCACTTGAGGAAGAACAGAGTAATTACGCCTAAACCACGTAAACAGAGATAAGGATGTGTAGAATAAAATTGCTTGAAAAGGTCAAAACTAAACACCAACAAGAACTGAACAAGGATTCAATTCATGAGGGATACATGAATGAAAAAGGTCTCACAAAAACAAGTGGGAACATAAATGAAAAGGGGATGTGAATGAGTAGATTTTTAAAAAAAATAAAATAAAATAATAAAACAAAAAAAAGTCTAGAACATGAAATGTATATATATTTCACATAGAAAATAGTCTAGAACATAAAGAGCATGCAAATTGGAGATTTTCACCTTTAAGCCATGGCTTCCCTGGGGGAGATAACTATCACGTTTGACCCATGCAAAACAATCCAGATGGCAAGCAAATTTGGCACGGCATTCCCCTTGATCCTTGTCACAACGAAATCCCAGCTCCTACAGGCTCCAAAAGAAAAAGGAAATAAGAAAGCAAGAAAGATTCAATCATGGTGCACGTACCTCAACCTAAAAGAATTAAAATATAGTTTTACAAATTCTTTCAAATGTTCCAACATGCAACCACTCTTAAAGCAAGTAGAGCTGAAATATCAAAACAAAAGTCAAGTCAATGGTTTTTTGCAAACATCAGTACAAAGGGATGCAGAATCACAAGAATTTGCTAGTGATTCAAAACCAGTGCAGAATTAACCATTATAGCATCAACATCACAATGATACTTTAGAAGTAAGATTATTCTCAGAATTAAGACTTAGTTTTTGCTGATGCCCATGCACCAAATCAACAAGTCGTAGTAACAAGAAGCACCATGGATGTTTTCCTTCTCCAATCCCAGAAAACGAAGTATACTGATGAAACAAGGCACAAAGTCCCCTAATAAAATGAATCTTGTAGTGGTTAGAAGCTTATTTATCAACAAAGACATCATACATGTAAAGTTTTGTCTCCGTGTGCTTCACGACATGTAAGACATATTGACTATAATGGCTGAAAATTTGAATATTTCTGCACACTATTACTAATTCATAGCATTTAATAGACAAAGAAGGAAGCTGGCAGAGTAAGAACTACAATTCATGGGTTAAATTCAGAATATTATTCCAGCATTCTGGAAAATACATATCTAAAGCATTTGAGAAACTGCGATCAATGACAACATAAATGAGCTAAAAAGGCCATTATTTGGTATGGTGTCACTAATTGTAACTCACAGAACAGAGCTACTTACATCACTCATTTTAAACCCATGATGGGCTGCTCTGCTTTCCACGAATGGCCAGTCAAAAAAGTCACCATTGTATGTAACATAAATCCCTGGTTTCATCTCTCGCATATGAGTAAACCACTGTCTAAGAAGCTCTTCCTGCAAGAAACACCAATTCATACAGCTATTAAACTAGGCACCAGAACTCTTCAAAAGATATGAAGCAAAGCTACCAAAATACTATGGACCATTACCTCATTTTTCACATTTGTAACTTTGAAATAGCCTTCATATTCTGGTTTTGGAGTGTACTCCAAATCGTCTATATCTTCTCCGACACACTGAAAATTGGAAAGTGTAAAAATATAATTAACCCGTCAGTGCAGAATCTTACCATTGAACACATACTGCAATTCGACAAAAACATAGGGTTGCAACAATGATGTTCATGTAATAACAGAGCACTGATTGCCTAATAGGAAACAATAAATGGAACTTACAATTAAATAACTACCGAGCTTGTTAGTAAAGTAAATTAGTTATCAAAACTTGCAGAAGATGATGAGTAGCATTGGATGCCAAAGGAGTTGCAACAACCATGACAAAGATGCTAGAATTATTACTATTTTGTTCCTTTTTTTAGGTAAGTGACAAAACGCTGGAATTGTCACCAAGATAAGCTAAATATTAAATAATAAGATAAAAGACCACTAATTTTACAAGTTACAGTTTTATCTTTTGGATGAATGATACCATGATGTTAGAAAATATGCTGGTAAACAAACAAATATTGTGTTAACTGGTAAATCCCTTCCAGTTACCCTAATCCAATAAATTCTAACGGAGGTTGATGTACTCCAACTTCCGAATAGGTTATACTTATCCCGTGCAAAGACTCAATACAACAAGATGACATTTTATTCCAGCTGACCTTTACAACATAGAGGTTAAGCAAAACTAATTATGTTTTTCTCCCCAACAAAGCTCCTGCAAAAGTCCAATCTTCCACCCACTAATAGAGTTGATCTCTCTAAATAAGAATGATGCTTGAAAAAATATTTCTATTCTTTTTTCTTGATGACACAATTGTTCAAAAATTACTTTTCTTTTTGGGATTTGTAAAAAAAATTCCATTGAGTAGCAGAACATTCATCATCATACCACCATAACAATAATTTTACAATATTCCATGCCTTCTACGATGATGCTTCTATAAACTCAAAAACAATGTTTTGCCACCGCATATTCTCTACCTAAGTGACAAAGGAACCCAGTCAAGTAGAGGATATGGTCAAAATGCTTGTTTCTAAAATTAGGCATGTCGAGACATGTCCACTTACAAATGCACCAGATAAGTTCAGCATCACCTAGATGTGTTCAACCATTAAGTGCCTCCAAATGAAGCCATCGGCATCATTTCACTCTCACACATTCTTCCAACACCTTTTATTTCCATAAAAGGTATATTAAGACCACTGCACCCTTGCCAAATGAAGCACAAGGACTTTGCTTAAGAACATCAACCACCACAACGTTCGCTAGAACAAAATATTTTAAACAAGATAACTAGAAATTATAGCTCAATAAAACCACCATCAGGATTGGCATTTCCTTCAGATTGAGTTGTTTCCCCCACACAATGGGGGTGTTTGGGAAGAGCTTTTTTTAGCTTTTTTGGCTAAAATAGCACTAAAAGACAAAATAAGCTAAAATAACTAATAAGACAAAATGTCATATCAAGCCCATAATCATTTCACTTTTTCTCTCACAAACATCACATCCAACTACAAAAAAATCCAACTTTATTCCCAAACTCAAAAATTTTAGCCTCCTAAAATAACCAAAAACTAAAATAGCAACTTCCCAAACACCCACAATATATGACGACTCATTTGAGAACAATTGATTTTCTCTATGTTTGGTGTCCTTTGGGTGCAGCCCCAAGGGGTGATGGATGTTTTATGAAGTTCGGGAGGGAGTTGGGTTGGGAAGCAGCGTCGGAAGGCTTGGTCTATGGCTCCTTTGTGCTTAATGTGGTAGATTTGGTTGGAGTAGAATCGTCACATTTTCCAGGGGATTGTTTGGTCTGTGTCTTGGTTGGAAAATAGGCTTTTCCAAGTTCTTTGTGGTTGGGTGTCTGGGCGGGTGGACCAGGATTTGTCTTCTCTTTTAGATTTCATTGATCATGTGATTGGCTAGGTGTTCCTGTTTCTGTATTTCTTTGGCATCTCCTTGATGCCCTTGGTTAATAAATTTTATTTATCAAAAAAAAAAAAAGCCTGGAATACATGCACTCCTTTTTTACTCTATTAACTATATAATTTGTGTTCCCTCCATAGAAAATTTAAATTTTTTATGTCAATTGAGGAAACCCATACCCCATTTTCTCAACTTCTCCATAAAACATCAATCTATTATCAATTCTATGGTCTTAACAAAATCCAAAAATTGGTTCAAAGGCAGTTTAATTATTCCCAAAAACAATGTATACAAAAAAGCAACTAATTTACTGATAACACATAATATTTTCTTCTTTGACAACAAAAGTTCGCCTATTCCTTTCACCCCAAATTATCCACATTAATGCCAGCGGAACCAAGTCTCTTGCCTTCTTCCTCCTCTGTCCGCACAAGCTCCTCTCCAAGGAAATAAGGAACCCCTAAACCTGCAAGAGTGACTTAAAAGGATTTCAAGCTAAACTGCCAAGAGAAGGATCTTAGCCATTGAACCAAGTCATCACCATCACCATCCCCATCCCCACCACCAATGTGGGTCAAACAAAGATGCCCAAGGAGATCTAAAACCTTTGCCATCTCCCAATCATTTATTCCTCTACAAAGCATAATGTCCCAAAAAGCTTGACCACCTTCTATCTTCAAACAATCACTCATTGTAGCTTTCATGTCTGGATCAATACAGGCAACATTTGGGAAAGAATCATCTAGTCTAACCTCCCTGCACCCCACTCCCCACCAAAAACTTAATACGACCAGAGACGGCCATCCTGTCCATATCTAATACCTTTCCACAAACTGACCCCATAGGACACCGTAACCTCCTGTGACATCCATCTTCCCCAAACACACCCATATTTACATGCCACCACCCTCCTCAAATACTTCTCCCTTTCACAATCAAATCTCATAACCATTTCCCCAATAAGGTTTGATTGAAAATGTCAAGATAGCAAATACCAAATAGTTTCTTACCTATAAATAAAATTTCATAGTGAATTCTGTTCTTTTTCAATGGAATTACAACAAATAGAAGGAGATAAACAAAGAAATTCTATGTGCAATCCAGTAGGGCCAATTACAGAATTTATGTATAATGAAGTTAAGAATTCAAGGTGCATATAGAAAAGCATTAAAAACCTAGAAAACATGCAAATAAATCAAAGACGAAATATGCACCTCTCTGTTAATGATCAGATACCCTTGCGCATCAACCATGTAGGAGATCATCATAATTGAATCATACTCGGCATCTGGAAATTTTAAAGGAAGCTTTGTGGTCTCGATATCAAATGCACAAACATGAACTTCGGCACGTTGCAAGAGATCAGTTCTCCTTTCCAGCATAACTCCAGCACTGGATACACTGACATCATACCACTGCCCACATCTTACATCTAAATCACATGGAATTCCAAGTAAGACAACATGATACGCAATTTAATCACGTCTTTAGAAAGTATTAGAATAAGTTTTGCAATCAACTACGTGAAAAAGAACTCACCATTGTCAATGGCGAAGCGAACGTGGTAAGGAACATCATACTCACGAAGATCAACAATACATTCTATGAAATCCTGAAGTCGTTGTTTGCTGCAGGTCAAGCAAAAAAAACATCTCAGGATTGGAAAAATATATATTTTCACACTGGAAATGAGATGGAAAAAGTTAGCACAATGTAAGATTAAGAATTGAAAACACAGTAATGGGTTATTTATCATGGAACATGAACCTGTTTATCAGAAAGGTATATATGTCTCTGTGTGTGTGAAGTCAAACCTATGGTGCTATATATTTATGTGTGTGTGTGTGTGTGTGTGTTTGACTCAAATCTTTGCTGCTCCATGCATATAGAACATTAATTAAAACTATGAAGTTGTTACCTTTTCCCTGTTAATAAAGACTCATAAGCTTCAGCAGCATCAAATTTTGCCTGGTTTCTTTCGACAACATGCATGAGATCACTCCTTACATTCATCAGTTGTTGAACAGTATCGAAGGATATCTTTAAATAAGCTTTACGTAAACCAGACAGATGGTTTTTCTGTCATCATCATATAAAGCAATCAGAATGCAGTTTCTAGGAAAAATCAACTATAGAAAGTTCAACCCTCTCAGGCATGAATTGATATCAACTATATACATGATAAGAAAACAACTATGCAATATTGAACAAACTTAACAAGAAACAGATAAAGCAATTCAGTAAGGATTTAAAAATCATTTGCTTGCCTGGATGATTATTGCTTAATATTGTAAGTACAAACTTTTTCAACTTAAAGCCACATTTAGTGCACAAACCCAAAGAAAGGTGAACACAAGTTTGAATACATGTCCATATTTGTCCACCTTACTTGTGCAGCAGGGAATAGACATATGCCACATACTCTTTTGCTCTATCAGAAAAATGATTCATGTGTACACTTCAGCTCATAGTATAAGAATACATGTGCACCTTGGTTACGAAAATGCTAGCTTGTCTCCTCAGACATTGCTGGATGTCTACTGGGTCCACTATCATCTCTTACATTGGAGTACATAAACTACCACAAAAACTTGGTGAACACCTATTCATACCTTGTAGTAGGTCCCTATGCCACCCCAATGTTGCTAGGCACCGTAGAATGTCTAAAATGGCACAATACCTAACTCTACTACATTGAGAATAGCCTGGGGTTGCAAAATCTTGACTTGATAGGCAATAGTACTTGGAAGTTTAAGGTTGATCTTGTAAGTTGGTTAAGACTGAAGAGCTAAGAAACCAGCTGAGATCAGGAAATTTCATGAATTGGTTGTTCCTTGACCAGCCCCGAAACAAGAACAATGAATAATAGAAGAGTCATCTAAAGGTCTAACTAAGCATGGCCTGAAACCCCTCTTGTTCATAAGCCTGAAAAGGTCGAGCTTGGCATATTCTAAGTTCTTCTACTACGAAAAAATATTGCAGGATCTTGGCATGTGAACTAACTCCAAAAGAGTTTGACGCCCTAGGATGTCACAACAGCAAATTTCATCCAAAAGCCTACTTCCAAAGATCATACTAAGTTGCCTACTCTTAGTGGGCCATTTGCTAGTGGACTGAGCTTTGTCTTAGATTTTGAGGTAGATTGCTGGATTGGACAAAACTTCAGTTACAACCATCCCATTACTTTTGAAATAGTGCCCCCACAGTCATACACTGACACTTATCCCTTCTTCCACATACATTAAAATAATCGAATATCCACAGACACATGGGTAGAATAGTTATAATAAAATTGCACATTTAATTATTGTATAAGGTATACTAAAAATGTGCAATCAATCATATATAGATCAGCTTTACCACCAACTCCATTAACAATAAAGACACATTTTTCGCATTCTCATTGTTTAACAATTAGAAATGTAACATGGATTGTTGGAATTGAGTTACATATTATGGGTATTATCAACAAAGAATAACCCAGAAACAAAAATGTGGGGAGCTAAATGACATCAAAAGAATAACCCAGCTTACAAGATCAAGGTCCTCTTTCTCTATAATTTCTATATCAGCAATCTGACTTTGGTAACGTCTTCTCAAATACGCATCAACGTCCATTTCCGTTTTATCCTACAAAATCACCAGAGCATCAGGTAAGCTGCAATTAAGCAAATTAATTCCATAAACAGCAAAAACTTTGCCAAAGCAGACAAAGATTTACATGCCTTGGTGGCCGCATAAAAATAAGGCCGGAACTTGTACTTGGACTTAAAAGAAGAACCATCCTGAAATTAAATTTACACCCAAAAAATAAATAAGAAATCAAACATATTAAGTAGAATTTGCTAAACTGCAAAACAAAGGGTAAATTACACTAACCTCCCCTTTATGTTTGGACAAAATACAACAAGTCGGCATAATTACACCGATATCACTTTAAGTAAGGCTAAAGAGACAGTAATTAATGATAAACAAGGAAAAGTGTATGTGAATTATATGACCGACAACATTATTTTCCATTGATGCGACTAACGAAACCCAATGTAATTGTGCGAAACTTGTGAAGTTGGTGTAATTTACATACAGAAACAATAAAACAAAAAGCGAAAGTGGTTAATTTACCTGACAAACAAAATAAAGATCAACACAACTGTAGACCTTGTGGGTTTCCTGATCCTCCCAAGATGACTGCAAAATAAAGCCCAAAAACACAAGACTGAGATTTTACAGTACAGTTGCAATTAATTTGGGGGATTGTTGGGTTAAAGAGTTGAAATGGAAACAGAAATAGTGTGAGATTGCGAGAGAGATAGAGAGAGAGTGACATACGGATGAGAATGTGAGAAGCCAACCGAGGCGTTTATCGCCTTGGGAGAAGAGATCGAAGCCGAGGTTGGACTCGAGTTGTTCTTCGGTGGTGAGAATGAGCTTCTGCGTCCTCGAGATTCTTGGATCTCTGCGCTCTCCTCCTCCTCCTCCTCGCCTTCGGCCATCGGCGTTCATCGTTGGATCTCCAACCACGCAGCTTCTCCGTCACTGATTCCACACACAACAACGAAGAAGATAGGCGGTGTGGTGTGGTAACTTAAAGATTTTATATATTTTTTTGGTGCGCTGATTTTCCCGCGCTTTCTTCACTTCTTGTAGTTGTTGTGTAGTTAAATGACAAAATTCTCCTCGGTCGCCAAAAAAAAAAAAAAAAAATGATGCAAAAGGTCAATTTTCTAGTAGTGCTCTTTAAGGAAAAAAACAATACCAACTACTAAGGGATTCAATATGTAGCAGCCTCTATGGAAAAAACATACATTCTCCTCTGTGTAGTCCTCTCATGGTCTCATTTGCCATTCAGCACATCACCAATGACTTCCTCTAACGCTTTTCCTCTCACTACATCCTACAATTTTATTCACTCAAACAAACAGCATCCTGCAATTCCAAATAAGGAAAACTCATAAATAAGACAAATTCTAGTGAAAGTTTGTAGAAAAATACAGCTAATTAAGTAGCCCTCGTTACAATGTTGTCCCCAAAAGGGTACTATCAAAAACAGTCTTCTATAACTTCCCAACCTTCTTTTGTTTTTCATGTTCTCAGCTCATTCCCATCATAAGCTCTGCCACAGAGCTCTTGATTTAAAAAATTATTTTCAAACCTCATAACCAAACACATAACTCAAAACTCAATTAAAAAATTATTTTCAAACTTCATAACCAAACACATAATTCAAAACTCCACACTATTTTCAAAACTCTACACTCAAATCGTAACCAAACACATAACAAAAAAATTAAAATATTTAAAAATATATTTATAAAATAAAATAAAATATTTATAATAAAAATTATATATTTAAAATAAAAAATAAAATTTTTAAATTTTTTTAATATTTAAAATATTAAAAAAATACAACATATAAATGTATGAAATATAATGCATATTGAAATAAATAAATAAATATTTTTAATATAAATTATTTACCCTAAAAGACTAAATTCGAAAATTTTCAAAACTTATAACCAAACAATTTTTTTCTTTTCAAAACTTATAACTCAAAATATGACTCCACACTCAAATCATGATTCTAAAAATAATTTTTAAAAAAAACAAATTTTTAAAAAAAAATTCTTTTAAAATAGAATTTTGGAAAAAGTTATTTTGAGTTTTGAAAAGAGTTTTGAGTTTTGAATTGAATTTTTAAGTTTGTGTTTGGTTATGAGTTTGAAAATAATTTTTGAATTGAGTTTTGAGTAAAAACATGTCCTGAAAAAAAGAATTTTTTTAGTTATAAGTTTTGAATTGAGTTTTAAGTTTTATGTTTGGTTATTACTTCTGAAATTTTTTGAATTTATTTTTTTAGGATAAATATTTTATATTTTAAATATTTATTTATTTATTTTAATACGCATTATATTTTGTGGAGAAGTGGTTTTGGAAATACTCTCCTGATCTTGGGGGACGCTCTTAATCCTCTTCTAGTCACCTGAAAAAGAATAAACACTCCGGTCGGGGGTGCCGAAATTAGCACTCCGACGGACAAATCAGTTTCACACTCAATATTGCTTGTATTCTAAGTTAAGCACCACTCTTTTTTCACATACCTCTTTCTGACTGATGTCTTCTCTATTTATATCCTTTCCTCTTTGGGCCTCGGGATTAGATCCATTTCCAACCTCCTATTCGGCATATTTTATATTTGACCGATCTTCACTCGGCCTTTGCTTAATCGGTTATTTGGCCGAGTAGGGTTGGATTTGAGTTTTCAAGCCGATCACCGAATGCTTTGAATCCCGACTCCCAGATTCGACTATCCGGAATCACTACGACTCCCAATACTTGGCCTCCACAATTGCCCCCCAAACGCTCCACTAACGACAGTTGGCTGGAGTGTTTGGCTTAGAACTTCGAAGAGCCAGAGCCGAAATTTGGCGGCTGACCTCATTCCAACGCAAATGTCTGTGTACACGCTTCTCGATTATCATTTCAACTTCCCGCCTCTTCGTACACTTCTATTTATTGTAATTTAAAATTTTGACGTCTTTTCAAATGCATACACGCTTTTAGACGCCCGTCGTTGGACTACCTTCCGAGCTACCTCTGCAACTTCCTACTCTTCTCCATCTCTTTCGCCTCTTGTAAGTTCTCTCCTTCTTTGCTTTGAATCTCTTTCCTTGCTTTATTTTTTGGCTTAGCATAACCCTATTGACTGGGGAGAATGGCGAAACATTTAAAGATCTCCTCTCACTGAATCGAATTTCTGGCTTCCGACGTCATTTTTCCATTCCTGACGACGTTCGTCTGTCATTTATGGTAGACGGCACCCTCGATATGGAGAGGGCTGATGAAACCACGATCGTCTTCCATCTTCTATCAATCGCAGAGGGTGGGATCTGTTTCCCCCTTCACCCACTCCTTAAGGTCGTGCTTTGCCATTGGGGGTTAATCCATTCCCAACCCAACGTCAACTTCTTTAGAATCGTGATGGGGATTATCGCTCTAAACCGCCGCCTTGGGCTTAACCTTGGCATTTCCGCTATTCGGCATTGCTACGCCTTGGCCAAGTCTTCTCGTAGGCATGGGCGTTATTTCCTTAAGGCCAAAGACACCGACCATCAATTAGTGACCATGCTTTCCAGCTCTGGGAAGCAAGTCGATAATGTTATGGTCGTCATCCAAGGAAACTGGGAATTCGGCAAAGGCGAGGAGCGCCTTGATCGTATTCCTAGACGGAGGGGAGAACCAGGTGGCTGAATATCTGCCTTTATTTATTTGTTATATTTATAAAACTTTATTTTCGGTACCTCATGGTTTTGCTTTTGCAGGAAACGATTTAAAGAAAATCTTGACCTCGACTGACAACACCGTCCTTTCGGAAATCAAGACTGCGCTCAAGTATTCTAGCCGACGAAGTCTTCAGAAGCAGGAGAGGGCGGCCCACGTTCTGCTCCGCTATGAGCCAACTTATATGACCTTTTCGGCGGTGGAAAATATACTAATTCCGAAGGGTGAGAAGTTTCTTGCTGCCCTTATCTTAACTGATTTCAGAAATTTGAGACAAGTCGATTGCGAGGGGTCAGATTCGGAGCGACCGGAAGTAGCTGAGGCTGACGAATCAGAAGAATCCGAAACTGAGGTTGACGAGGCTTTGAAATTAACATTTGAATAAGTCGGCCTCAGTTCGGCTGATCCTCCGTCCACTTCGAGTCGAGAGGACCGTTCACTTGACGATATTTTTCACGGTCTGGAGGATCTTCCCGGTGCGTACCCAGAAGATATGGCTGGGTTGAGCCTCACTAAACGTGCCAAGAAGGCGAACGCGGAAAGGATGGTCGCGCGGCGAAGGGCGGAAGAGATTCGGGTTGCCGAATCTTAGTCCCAGTCCTTGCCTGTTATTGAGGGGACGGCAAAAGACGGAAGTACAGAGGTGGAACCTGTTGCGCAAGCAAGTGTAGAAGCTGAGCCAAGGGTGAAGAAGCGCCCTGCCGATGTCGAGGCCGGCTCAGAGGAAGATCGTGCCGACAAACGATCTTGTTTGGAGGAGTCGGATGTGATTGTACCCTTTATTGTTCAGTCCAAGATAAAAAATACACCGATCTCCTCCGATGCTTCGGTGATTAGAGATCCAGCGGTTGCACTCAGCTTGGCAACGTCCATTTCACTGCCAGCTGACAAGGCGGCTTTTCGGGCAGAGCCTGAACTGGTTACCATTGCGTTGGCCACGCAATCGGCCCTTTTGGTATATATCTGGACTTTGTCTTTTTTCTTTATGTGGATATTATTTTGTTCTTAACTTCCTGTCTTACAGGCCGTCGGGAGGATAGCCGACATGGGCTGTCGCTATCACGAAGCCGTCGAGCTAATTGGCCGTTTACAAGCGAAAGTTGAGGGCCAAAGGAGTAGGGCGTAGACCGAGGGCGCCCGTGTCGAGGCTGAGATGGAGAGAGCCCAAAATGCTGAAGAATTGAGGTCGGTCGCCGAAAGGAGGGCAGATGCGAGCGACGACGCACTTAAATTGGCCCAGGAGGCGATCTATAAATTAGAGGCTGAGTTGGAAGGGATGAAAGCGGCGAAGGAAACAGTCGACCTGAAGGTTTCCAGCGCATTCGATGTTGGGAAAAAATCTGCTTATGATGAATATGTAGACGAAGTTCCCAAATTTGAGAATCGGGGATTTAAACACGGTAGGCTCAAAGCCCTTGCTGTTGCTGATGTGACATTGGCTACGCCAATTTCATACAAGCAGGTAGATGTTGAGCCGCTAAAGTCTGACTCCAATAGTTAATTTGGGCGGCTCTTGTTTTTGTTTTAAGATTTGCCTGTAATTTTCAGCTTTTTACAGTTTTTTGTTTAGTAATTTTCATATGTAAAATGGTTACAATTTGTGCCCAATTTACTTAATGAAAATTCATTTTGTACTTTGCTATTGTGAATGAATGGAATTGTTCGGTTGCTGTTGTGAATAAAAACGTTTTATATACTTGCCGACTAGATGATTAGGCCGTTTTAAAAGCCAAAATCAGTGCATGAAGTGGCTGTGGCACGTATCAATCGGCATAAGGCCAAGGTGTTCGGCCGGATAGATTAATAAATCTGCCCTTACCCCAGCCAGTGCATGGACTCCAAGGCATTCGTCTAAAATTGCCGTTTAGATAACTAGGCCGTTCTAAAAGCCAAAATCAGTGCATGAAGTGGCTGTGGCACATATCAATCGGCATGAGGCCAGGGTGTTCGGCCGGATAGATTAATAAATCTGCCCTTACCCCAGCCAGTGCATGGACTCCAAGGCATTCGTCTAAAATTGCTGTTTAGATAACTAGGCTGTTTTAAAAGCCAAAATCAGTACATGAAGTGGCTGTGGCACATATCAATCGGCATGAGGCCAGGGTGTTCGGCCGGATAGATTAATAAATCTGCCATTGCCCCAACCAGTGCATGGACTCCAAGGCATTCGTCTAAAATTGCCGTTTAGATAATTAGGCCGTTTTAAAAGCCAAAATTAGTATCCGTCGTTTGGAGAGCAGCGTTAATGAGATTGCCTCGGGGTCGCTGCAGGCATTAGAAATAAATGGGCTTT